CCGCAATGAGGAGTGAGGAGTATCATCCAGGGACGACTACCACGTAGCGTGGACGACCATAACCTCCACTGATAAGCTTCCGGCGACTTTGGCATGTCTTGACAAGCCTCTGAAAAGGGGAACGCGATAAAAGGGACGGTGGAATAGGAAGAACGGACCTAAAAGAGGAAGAAAAATGAAAAAAAGAAGAAAGAAAATTAAAAAAAAAAAAAAAAAAAGAAAGAAAGAAAGATAAAAGAGGACGTCTGCAGACAGAGATAAAGCCGTGGACATCGACGTCGACGCAACGGAGACTAAAATCAAACGAAGTCCTCGGACTGTGACTGTGGACATTGAATTTAATGGAGACCATTTACATGTCGTTCCAGTTGATTATCTTCATGTTCTCTCTCTCTCTCTCCTCTTATTTTGTGTTCTTCCTCCTTGCTCCTGCCCCGAGGCTGCGTCGACTTTGCTGCGATGGACTTGCCTGCTACTAACAGCCTTCCCACTGTAACTTCGGGTTGAGCAGTAATTTACACAGTACACCTACCAGACAGCCCTTTGGCAAGCTCGTTGTGCCGTCAGACAGCTACAAGGCCCTGGAACCTGGCAGGCAAGCTAGCCTCCTCTCCTCCTACTTCGCCTGTTAGCCCGTCCTTAGCCTTATCAGTCACAGGCTCGACCAACCGCTGGTCGCGTGGGCCTTCCAGCGTTATCCCCACTCTACTTACCAGACTCGCTCTTGCCCTCTCTGGGATGGATCGCGGGTTGCATGCTTGCCGCCCCCAGATTTTCTCGTTCCAGTCATGTCTTTCGAGCATGCTCTGCAACTACCATGTCAACGTTGCTCCTTTGTCTCTCGACAACCACCAACCATGACAATGCGTCGTCACTCCATCTCCACGGACCCTCCAGCCACAGTGGTGGCCACGAGATGCCCTCCCGGCCCAGACCAAAGATAGGGAACAATGTCAAGTCCGAGTGGTCGAAATATTGGGGACTGAAAACTCACAAACGATCCGTCGTTTGAGGAACCCTTCTTGTCTGCTCTCCCTTGTCTGCTACCTGCTGCTCTCACGCTCTGCTTGTCATTCCGGGGGATTCCCTGAGACCCTCTGACGGCAGTCTTTGTATCCACCCCGTTTGGACGGACCTGTGACGTGTGAATTGTGGATGACGCCGACATCACGACATCACAGCAGCACAGCATCACAACATCACTTCTTCTCCTCTCCCAACATTGCCTTCGACAGGAGCCTTGTCCCCCCGTCGCTCCCCTCCATGGCCCCAAAAAGCAGGCGTGTGCCACAGGAGCTGCGGCAGCGCACCGAAAAGAGCTGTGACCGCTGCAAGTCGCGCAAACAGAAATGCGGCATGCTGCCAGGGAAGGACAAGTGTGCCCACTGCACCAAGTATGGCTACAAGTGTCTCGTCACCAAGCCGCGCAAGCAGCGTCTGTACGGCAGCGTCGAGGCCCACACCGAACGGCTGATGCTGCTCGAGGGGCTCGTCAAGCATTTTGTGCCCGACGCCAATCTCACCAGCACGGACGGCCTGAGGGAGCTGACGCGCAGTCTGGGTGTACCTCTCTTGCCCGGGATGGCGTTAACCAGTCCACACGCAAACACAAACACAAATATAAACGCACACTCGCAGCGTGCTGAGAGCGGACAGGCGCCCGCCGACGACGACACCGACAACGACGGCGTAGCCGACCCCTCTTGTACATCTGCTGCCTCCTCCATCCTCGTCAAGGCCAAACGGGACAACGAGATGCTCGTGCTCGACCTGCAGGGCCAGGGCCAGTACATCGGCCAGGCGAGCTCCTTTTTCTTCCAGGTGCGTCTCCGCGACGCTCTCGAAACCTGGATCGGCCGCGACGACCATCAGAGCAGCGCCAGCTCGCCCTCGAGCAGCGCCGGCACACCTGGCCGCATGCTTCTCTTTGGGCCCAACCCGGCCGACGACAGCCGGCGCGCCAGTTTGGGCCACCGCAGCTACCCTGGTGTCGATGCCCTCACGGTGTGCGTCCCACAATCTCTCGCCGACCTGCTGCCCGGCCGCCCGCCCGCTGAACGCTGGTCCGTCACGCAGCTGCTTGTGCGCACCTTTTTTGATCGCGTCAACAGCGATTTCCCCGTCCTGCACGAGGCCACCTTTCTGGAGCAGCTGGGCGCCTGGTCCCGCCATCCGCACGAGACCGACCAGGCCTGGGTCTGTACGCTGTTGTGCGTGCTGATGCTTGCCTGGCGGCTGGTGGCGCCCACGTCCGTCGCCACATCCATGCCAGAGACCATGCCGGAACTGGCATCTGCACCCCCATCCCCGACCGTCGAGCTACACTACCTCCAGGAGACCCGCTGGTGGCACCAGGCCCAAGCCCTCCTGCCCAAAGTCTTGTTCACCTCCAGCATGGCCTCTGTCCAGGCCCTCATGCTCACCGCCCTCCACCTCCACAACAACAACTCCCGTGACGTCTGCTGGACGCTGACGGGCGCCGCTGTGCGTATTGCGTTTGCCATTGGCCTGCACCGCGACGACGTCGTCGAGCCGGCCGAGCATGCATCGGCAGCAGCGGCATCGCCCACTGCCACTGCAACTGCCACGTCCACAACCACCCCCGTCGCCCGCGAGCTGCGCAAGCGCGTCTGGTGGACGCTCTACGCGTTCGAGCAGCTGCAGGTCTCGTCCCACGACCGGCCCAGCGCCATTGATTGCACAAAGCACTTGCTGGCTGGCGCGCCCCGCGAGACCATCCTCGGCATGGGCGCCCACAACCCGCCCGAGTATGTCGTGTGGTCCAACCGCCTCGTCACCTTGCTGGGCGCGGCTTGCCGCAGCCTGCCGCCGGAGGCTGCCGATTGTGGGAGGGACAAGAAGAACCGCCACCCTCGCGTCCAACTCGGCATCTTGTCGCCCGCGGCCGGCCTCCTGCGCGACCTCGACCGCTGGCAAGCCACCTTGCCGCGCCACCTCTCAGCCGACCTCATCGGTGCCATGCCCCCCTCCTTCCAGCGGCCACTCTTGCTTCTGCACGTCCAGTACAACCACGTCTCCGCCCTCGTGTCGCGGCATGCCCTGCTGGCGCGCTTTGCCGCTGTATCCAAGCGTGTGCCGCTGGCCGAGCCCGTCCGTATCATGGCCGATGTCTGTGTACAGGCAGGTCGCCTGTCGTGCGATTTGCTGCTGCAACTGGATGCCGTGGGTTGTTTCAACGCCTTGACCTGGATGGATGTGTACTATTTGTACTCGTCGGTGTTGATCGTCGTGTTGGCGTTTGTTTGTGAGGAGGCAGACGGCAGCCAGCCGACGGCGCGTCAAACAAAAGAGACGGCATCGACGACTACCTCGACTGCACCGCCACCAACAGCATCGGACCTCCGCCAACTGCTCGGCCGCTGCAAGACTCTCGCCGCCAAGCACCTCGCTAACCCCGTCGTCCCCGGCACCATGCGCCGCTGGCTGACCGTCGTGGGCGAGCTCGACGCCATGGCCAGCCACTTTGCCAGACAGAGGGGCTCCGCCAACGGGGATGGCCGTGTTCCAACGCAACAGGGACACCCCGACGTGTCTGCCACGGGCGATGCCCTGCCGAACCCTCCTCTTATGACGCCCTCGCCTGACAGCAACAGCGGCGGCGGCGGCAACACCTCGGACAATGACGTCGAAGAAGTCCCGCGGCCCGTCTATGAAAAACACGAAAGCGACTACAGCGCAAACAATCGACGCAGCGCGCGGCATCGACCGCGGCAAACGACGCGGTCACAGCACACCGACCGCCACAGCAGCTCCCACAACCGCCGCAGTGGCCGTATCAACAGCAACAACAACAACAGCAGCAGCAGCAGCAACAACCACAACCCCAACCACAACCACAACCACAACATGCGCTACCCCCAGGCCGCCCTCCTGTCCCAACCACTGTCCTTGGCGGGCGACGCCGACTACGCCAGTCGCCAGTTGATGATGATTGCCACTTCGTCGCACCACCATGCTATGGGCCCCATGGACCCCATGGACCCCATGGACGCCGTCGACACCTTGGACACGGTCAACACCATCAACACGCTCGACACCATGGGTATGCCCCTGGACCTGCCCGCCGCCGCCGACAGCACCGCCACGTACTTCTCGCACGCGGACGGGAGCACAGCGGCTGCCACGGCTGCCACGGCTGCCACCACAGCCCTGCTGGACGGCGCCGCCACGGACGACTACGGACCCTTCCAGACGGCCGCCGATGCCGCGGCCGAAACCGGCTTGTGGCACGAGATGCACTGGGAGGGCATTAGTGATTTGCTGTTGGGTGTCGACCCCCGCTCCTGGGGGGCGTAAGCAATATATGTTACGTGTGTCGGGGCTATGGCTTTCTAAGGCTTCAGTGCGACTTGAGAGTTCTTAAAACAATGTGATCAGCAATGGAATGCGGCAAGAATTGGATATTGGGCCACTTGTAACGGTATATGGTTATGTAGCATAGAGAGAAACAATGTAGATATATATCCAATTTGATGACATTCTATCTGGCTGTAATGATAAAAGATTGTCAATGCGATTTCCTAACCATTACAACTGACAATTGAAAAGAAATTGGTGTTTTTTGAGTGATAGTACATATATTGTTTTTTTTAAAAACAAATAAAAAATAAAAATAACAAAAAAAAAAAAAAAATCTAATACGATTTGAAAGTCGCATAAAATTCGATGAGATACCACATACCTTTCTTTATCCAATTCGACAATACGTCGCAGATGCCACGAGAAAGCGTCGCAATGTCTTCATCCGTATGCCAGTGGAGGTCTTCATTTAAAGGTGTCACGGGACGGCGCGGTATAACCCCACTGAAAGCCTGCCTAAAAAACGCGGGGAGGGTCTCAGTAACGCGCCTTCCGTCACCAGAGAGCGCCCTCAAAGCACGTCTTTTCGACATATGCATTGAGACAATTTTCTGCTCTTTGACCATTGACCCCATCTGCACCAGCATCACCTATGTATTTCCTCTCCCCCTCGACTCCCCATGTCTCCGCCCGGACCGTCGCTGGCGCAGACGCCAGCCTCGCCTCGTCCAGACGACGCGACGGTGGACTCCTCTCGCCTTGACGTCCACGATGGTGACGACATCGCTTTGGCCTCCCACAACGGAAACAACGCTGCCGCAGGGACAGCTCCCATGAAGCAGACCTCTCGCTTCACCTACCGCCAGCTCGCCGACCTCGCCGCGGCCGCACCGGCCTGCCCCCTCCGCGTCGTCGCCCACATCGACCTCGATGCCTACTACGCGCAGTGCGAGATGCGCCGCCTCGGCACCGCCGACGACACGCCGCTCGTCGTCCAGCAATGGCGCAGCATCATCGCCGTCAACTACCCGGCCCGCACCTTTGGCATCAGCCGCATGATCAGCGCCGCCGAGGCCAAGCGCCTCTGTCCGGACCTCGTCCTGCAGCATGTGCCCACCTGGAAAGAAGGCTTGACCGAGTGGGCGTACCACGACGACGCCTACAAAGACATGGCCCACCACAAGGTTTCGCTCGAGCCCTACCGTATCCGCTCGCGCGAGATCCTGGCCACCATCAAGGAGAGCCTGCCCGGTGTCGGTGCCCAGGGCTGCAAGCTCGAAAAAGCTGGCATCGACGAGGTCTTTGTCGATCTGTCGTCCTATGTGCACGAGCTGCTCGTGCACCGGCTCTATCTGGACGTGCTCGCCGACTACCGTGAACACCACCATAACCAGCCAGGCGCACTGCTTCCTCTGCCGCCCGTGACCGAAGCCGATCTGGACTGGGCGGCCACGGGCAGCGACGTCATTGACGACAAGGACAAAAAGGACAGAAAGGACAAAAACGGCCAGGTTGACAACGAGGCGGACGAGGCCGGCGACAGCACCACCAACAGCGATGGGGTCGTCGACTGGGACGATGTGGTCATGCTCGAGGGCGCCCGCATTGTCCGCGCCGTGCGCCGGAACCTCTACGACAAGCTGCAGTTCCGCTGCTCCGCCGGCATCGCCTCCAACAAGATGCTCAGCAAACTCGGCTCCAGCCAGCACAAGCCCGACAAGCAGACCGTCCTGCGACCCCGCGCCGTCGCGGCCTTTCTGGACGGGCTCCCGTCCGTCACCAAGCTGCGCGGCCTCGGCGGCAAAATGGGCGCCCGTGTCGTCGCTGCCTTTGACACCGAGTCGATTGCCGAGCTGCGCACGCTCTCCGTCGCGCAGATGCAGGCCAAGCTCAACGACCAGGAGGCCGGGTTTCACATCCACAGCATGGTCCACGGCATCGACACGAGCGAGGTCTCCGCGCGCACCGACATTAAGTCGATTATTTCGGCCAAGTCGTTGCAGCCCCCGCTCCAGACCATGGACCAGGCCCTGCGCTGGCTGCGCGTCTTCGCCGCCGAGCTCAAGTGCCGCCTGTTGGACGAGAAACTGTCCTTGGCGCTGCTGGCCGCCGTGACGGTCAGCGCACAGGGGGCTGGCGGCGGCGATGGACAGGACGAGCCAAGTGGGCACGGCGACAACCCTCGCCCTCCTCCTCCACCCGCAACCCATACGACTGCCCACCAACAGCACGTCCAGCGGCTACGCCTTCCGCAGACCATTCGTCTGCACTACGGGGACGCCAGAAACGGCCACCACTGGCGCTCGCGGCAGACCCGGATCCCGCGGGACGGCGCGCCCCTCGACGAAGAGAAAATGCTCAAGCTCAGCACGCAGCTGCTCGAGCAGGCGCAGCGCGCCGGCGAGCTGTGGCCGTGTGCCCATCTTGCCATTAGCATGGACGGCTTTGATGAGCCAGTCAAGAACAACAAGAGCATCGAGTCGTTTTTCCAGAAAACGGCCACAAACGCCCACCCTACATCGGCAACACCCGGGACAATGTCGAGCCATAATGATGATTGTGCGGGTGGAGAAGACAATCAAGACAATCAAGACAAAGACGACCAAGACAAAGACGATCTAGATGGCAATCTTCGTGACCTCGACGCCGTTGATGCGCTTGACGCCCTTGATGAGCCGCTGGTCAAGCGGCGGCGGACGGACCACGGCGCAGCAGAGACAGCAGCCCTACCTCTGCTGTCAAAAGCAGGGGACGCGAGGCAGTACACAGCGACTGACAAACACGGCAAACAAGGCAAGCATGGAAAGCAAGGGAGAGCAGAGCGTACGAGCAACATTGACGAACGACCGCGAGCCACGTCGTCCAGCAGCGCCCGACGAAGTAACGCGGCCGCAGACGCAGGACCATCGAGTGTATCCACTTTCTTCCAGCCCAAAACCGACGGTGCGCCGAGAACTGGTCATGGAAACGGACACGACACGAGCAGCGGCCCATTTGCATGCGGCCAGTGCAGCACGTCGTTTCCGTCGGCCGTCCTGCTGCAGGAGCATGATGACTGGCACGTCGCCCGCGCGCTACACGCACGAGAGACGGCGACGACGACAACGACACAAGCGACGGGAGCAACGACAACAGCACCAACAACCGCCACTCGTCGGCGGGGGCCTGCCAAACGCGGGACGCCGACGACTCCGGCCCACTCCATCTCGTCTTTTTTTCAAAACCAAGTGAGATCGCCGACCAAAAAGGACAGTGGCGGCAGCGATGGCGGCAACAATGGCAACAACGGCGGCGACAAAAACGGAGCGTCAGCGTCGGATGCGAGCCCAAGATCACTGACCTGCCATCGCTGTGGAGCTGCATTGGACCATCCAGACGACCTGCAGGTGCACCAAGACTGGCACTTTGCCAAAGACCTCGAGACTGGATAAGGAAAGAGACGACGGAGACGAGAAAAACAGACAAATAAACATAAAAGTGGAAACGGAAACGATAACGGAAGAATTGCCGCGCAAAATCCATGTCGACAGGCACAACACAAGCACAAGGGAAATGCACAGCAAGAAAACAAAACGATTGAGCGGTGTGCAAAATATGAAGAGTACTGCATATCAGGCAGGCATGTAGTGAGCTATGCATACCGCCGCCTTTGTCGTGACCAATTGGTGCCATCTCTACGACGTACTCTGGACATGTACGCACTGGTCGGCACCTGGTATCTCTATTTGGTGCCAGCTCTCGGGCCGGCCCTTTTTGGAGTTGACTTTTTCTTCGCCTTTATCTACCTTTTTGAGTCGAGTCCAACTTTGCGGATTTCGACATCTCAAATTTTGTCGGCATGCCGACCTACAGAGACGACACTGGAGTGCCGACCTTGACGACAAATTGGAGAGCATCGGCATGCCGACGTTGAGGGAAAACAACCGAATTTCTCGGCAAGCTGAGATGAAGAAGACGACCAATGGTCGGCATGCCGATATCAACGAGGAAGGGCTATAGTGGCAAGTTGACGTCCAGAACAGTCAGGACAATCTTCTTGCCGACCGACCTCAACAAAAGTCGAACCATTCGGCAAGCCGACATCGACATGTAGACATATCTCGGCAAGCCGACTTCCAAAAGAGTCATGAAAATCGGCTTGCTGGCCCCAAAGAAGCAACATAACCCGGCAAGCCGACTTCTAGAATCGTCAAGAAATCGGCTTGTAGCCTTCAAAGCAAGCCAAACCTTTCAGAAAAGGGTATCTCGGCAAGCCGACTGCCAGATTGGTCTAGACTATCGGCTTGCCGACTTCAATACGAATCGAACTCTCGGCATGCCAAGCAAGATAACTCGGCCCGTCGACTTGGACGAAAGGCAAACCATCTCTGTTTGCCGTCCCAGTCCAAAAGCTGATATCCGTGAGACCATGAGAAGCAGGAGACCGGCATGCCGATGTCAAGGCAAACGAAAGTTGTAGATAAGTACTGTCGGCATGCCGAGTCAACAAAGAGGAGACATTGCATATAGGCATACCGACCTCGACAAATATGGTTCGGTCGGGATCCTCGATTTGCGCGAGGGCCAACGGACCTCGAAAACTCTCGGCCCGGAGGCTCGTATTGTACATCAATGGAAAGAGCAACGAATAAAAAAAAAACAAAAAGGAGCAAAACTACGAAGAAGGGGTTTGAATCTGACTGTGTAAATACAGTATATAAACTGTGAATATACTGTAGACAGCCAGTTCATGGCTGCATATTATTACATTGCTAGACTGCACTCTTCTTTGCGGCCCAACCTTTGCGGCCCAACCCAACGAATTTGAATGCTACCAGACAGACACGACAGAAACCGAGACCCGTCGGGCTGCCCATTGTTTCGAGAGATGTGCAGATGGACACCTGACACGCTTTCTTCGGATTCCAAGACTACGGAGTATGTGATTTTTTTGGTCTTGGCCTATTGGGACCCGTTTCGAGGTCCCATCATGCACGCTCCACCGACAGTAGAAACTGGACCGACGTACGAATGCATTCGTAAGATAGTTCCCATGCCCAAGACGACAGCAAAAACAATAGGGTGTCTGGGCGTGTAGGGCTCCCTTTTGCCACACGTTCTGGTGGATACCGGCTGTCAGGAAGGCAGCTAGGAAGCGGCAAGTGGAAAGAGCCGCCTGCGCCAAAACGACTGGTAGGTAATTTACAATGGACGAACAGGACGGAGACACATCACTGTGGCGGATTTTGAAAGCAGGGCGGCCAGACCGAGAACCTACCATATAAAACAGACGCTGCCGCACTCGAGTCAGATGCGTTGTTTTGTGCTGAAATCGGATGCACAAGAAGCTATTTAGACTGTTTGCTGTCTCCCATTGTCCCGTTACTCGCCTCTTCGGTGCCTCTTTTCCTTGTCTGTTTCACTGCTCTGAGTTGTTGGATTGCACGCAGAGCTTGGGCAGCCCATAGGAAAGCAGGGGTGTCTGATAGGCACCGCAGGATGTCAGCGGTGACAAAGAAACAAGAAAAAACGAGCAACATCTGCCCTTTTTCGCCTCTTTTGTGTGCCCCAGTGCAACCTGCAGCCAGCCTTTTGGGGCAGCGTGTCTTGGAGTTGTGGTCTTTGATCTGTCGGTCAGCTTGTGCATCTCTGCATCGGTGGCAGTGTACTTTACAATGTATGTTGTCTTGTTTTCAAATGCTGCTTTACTACGTACTTTCTTTGTAATTCGTCGCCAGTGTCACCGCCACAGCATCCCTGCTGCTCTGGCCAATGGTACGACTGCAATAGCCACGACTGCCAAAGGATCGCTACCTTCCACTTTAGCTCGGTCAGCCTTTTCGGTTGCCGTTTTACAGACGCAACAGGCCCACGCAAACCTGTGAGGCCAGGCTGCCTTCCCCACCAGGCTCTGTCGCAGCACCATTTTGTGAGGGGCAGGCAGACCTGCCGTTGCGCTTTCCCTCTTTGCCTCTTTTCGTCGTCGGTGTCTTTGTCCTCCCATGTTGGGAAGCGACGTCCCATCTTGCGACCGATCGCTCCTTTCGACCCAGAAAGGAGCTCTGCACCTTCTCCTTCCACGTTGTAAACAATCCCCCTTTTTGACTTCCGTCCCTTTTTGCTTTTTGCTCTACCATCACCACATATTGGCTTTTCTGTCGCAGCTCGAGTCAGCTTCAGTCCAACCGTCCAGCTTTATGTCTTCCTCCTGAACCGTCCCACCAGCGCAACTCTATCTGAAATCCACTGGCCAGGCCTCTCGCAGGTCCCCGTATTACTTTACAGTCCACTTTTGTCTGTTCTCGCAACCAACCAGAGCCTCCCACGCAACACCCACGCGACGCCCTCCGAAACTGGCGTTTTCGTGGCCTGCAACCGTCATTGGCTGCCAGGGGCTTGTTTTGCTGGTCGTTGGGTCACCCTTTTTCGTGCGAATTCCCTTGCTGCGTGCCCGATCCTATCAAATCGTCCAAGCCTTCCCGCCCAACATCTTGAAAACGGATCACCTCTCATTGAAGCGGCCCGACCTGCAGGCTCTGCTTTCAGCGCGTCCAGCGCTTCCAGCGATTTCTATTGGAGAGATTGTGCAGTGACAACCCCCGAAGGCGGCCAAAACAAGACTTGTTTCGCCACGGAGAGGTCGCCAAAAAGCAAGTCAAGGCCTGACTTGAACGGGCCTGCATCACTGCCCAATATTCCCAGATCACGGGCTGCCAATTGCAATTGGCACAAAATTAGTTGATGTGGCGTCCACCGAACGAAACGAGAACATCATACCTTGCACATCCAATCTCCTTACCATTCGGTCAGAAACTGTAACGACGTCGTTCGATTGATTCACATTCACTGCGCCTTGCTGCCTGCGATATACCACGGAAACGACCAAAACTCTATCTGGGAACCGAGCAAGAAGCAACGACACACTGCCCAGCCGTGCTGTTATTTGCACCGTCCTGCGAGGAGCCCAGACGAGACCCACTGGTGCCACCTCATTTTACCAGCATCGCCCGCTCAGGCCCAATCCCCGGCCACCCTCTTGCCGCCTTGTTTCCTTACCAAATTTTCCCCTGCGCCCGCGCACCCCCGCCAATCGTGTTGCCTTGCCTGGTCGTCTTTCCATTTCAGTTCGGGCCTGCCCATTACCGCTATTCCACTTCCCTTTTCTTTCCTTCTTTTCCGTCGAATTCGCTTTCTGCCCCCCTCCGATTTAAAGTCTTGCAGCCGTTTTGCTTCTTTTATCGAGATCGTATTCCACCTTTTGTCGTTCGTCGTTACTTTTGTTTTATCTTGTATCTGGGCGATTCGTATTGTTACTTTTCTTCTCGCTTTTCGTTTTCCCGTCTTGGACCGCCTCTTGCGATCCTCGCTTTTGGGTTCTGTCTCGCCTTTTCTGGATTCGTGATCTTCTCCCAACAATAAAAATGGCAAACCGCGGACGAGGCGCCGGCGCAAGCTACCCACCGAGCAACAATGCGCCACCACGGCAAAACGAGTATTTTGTTCCCCGCGACGGCATTGACCGTGAAGTCATCACGGCCGACATCTGTCGCTACTTGGGGAACGATGCCCTGGTCCGCCCAGGCACACACACAAATGTGAGTCGGCGTGTGCATGGCGTTCACGGCTGAACTCGCAGTTGAACATCATAGGAAATGCTGTGTCTGTGATGGGATCCAAGTATGCTGACCATATCTTCCCTATCGATAGGATAGTGGCCGTGTCATCCAGGGCTACTTCATCACCGCATATCGTAACTTGACATCCGTACGTCTCCGTCCCTCTCTATGTGCATCCTGCCAACGGCGCTTACACTCCGGATCCCTCATTTCACCCAATCGTCTAACCAAACCCCTCCGTCGCCAGGCTATGATCGCCGATCTCAAGACCGACTCTGCGCGCTGGGACGCAGAGAGGCGGAAGAGTCAGTCTGGCGCAGGTACACTAGCTTACTCTCATCGAGACCGGCTCCACGATCGCGTACATGACCCTAACTCCCCTTCAGTCAAATACCAGGACTCACAGATTAGAGACGGCCCGCAGCGCGGCGGCAACGTCAATATTCCTGTCGGAGGTGGTAACGGCGGAGGCGCCCCGTACGGCGGTTTGCAGTCTTCCTATGGCGGCAACTCGGCCGGCAACTACGACAACGGCCCTCGCTACCCAGGCAGCGAGGCACCAGGATACAGCGCCTCTGGACCAGGAGGACCAGGCCCGGGCTCCTATGGCCCACCTGGAGGACACGGCGGTTATAACAACGCTCCATACGCGCAGGGCGGACTGCCACCCCAGGCACAGTACTCTTCGCAGCAACAATCACCCCAGGATCCGAGATACGGTGGCCCACCTCCTCAGGTTGGCGGCCTTGGCGGTATTGGCGGCACCTACGGCGGACCTATCGGTGGCGCCGGCCACCCGCAACCACACGGCCAGGACGGCTACGCAAGTGGCGCACACTACGCCGTAGTGTCCAACCGGGATGCCTACTCTATGGACATGCACATGACGGATGCCCCCTTGGCCCCCGCACGACGCAACTCCCCGCCCAGTGGCCCTGGCGGGTTCGGAAACCAAGGCAACAGCAGCCGCGGCTCGTACGGCAGCGGCGCACCCGGCACTGCTGGTGGCTACGGCGGATACTCGGCACCGCCGCCACCAGCAAGTCACGCCGCTGCGTATGCCCAGCCTATCGACGGTGGCTACGGACGAGGTAGGTGATTCTTTTCGATCGAACCAGGTGTTTCTGTGGTATTGCTTTGATAGGCAAAAGGTTCCAGTCTATATACTTACGCACAGCTTCAGCTCCCAACGCAAACACTGGATACAGCCCTGCTCATGATGTGTCACCGCAGCCGCCCCACGCCCAACAGTATGAAGAACCCGCCCTCTCTACCCTCCCTCCCCGGCCTCCCCATCCCCCTTCCCCTGCTCGCTCTGGATCCGTTGCATCGAACAGTCAGGCTCAATTTCCAATCACCAATAGTGGACAACAACAAGCTGTTCCTCGCCATAGCCGGGAACAACGCGCCGCGAGCGAGCGCTCAGATCACCGCGATCGCCCCGAACGGCCCAGCGAACGTGAACGCGAGCGTGAGCGCGACGCCACACCTCCCAACCGGAATGGTCCCCCACCAAAGTCTGGCAGTGCCGCCCCTCACCACCTATATGGCCGGAGATGACCGTACGGCCCTGGTTCCTCTCGCCCTCAACTCGAACTTCATCCGCAACGAAACATAAAAGACTGATCTCGATATATCGCATTCTTTTCCTCCGCTCATGGAAGGCGTTTGATTCCCTTTTGGTTGGTAGAGGCGCTCTGGCGCTCCTGATTTGGTTACGATTCTGTTAGAGTTCCTGTTTCGTCTGCTGCTTTTCTTGCGTCTCTCATCTTTGCTCGCTCTCTCGTTCCTTGACCCATTTGAGTTGGCCTCAAACCGATTCTTCCAATTCCTGCTTCACGCTACGCTACGACTCTGTTTTCTTTTGCAACGCTTACATGGCCAAGCCTTAGCTTTGTCACTTGTTCACATTTTCTGTTGTTTACGCTCTGTCCTTTTTTGTTGTCTTCTTTTCCTTTTTTGGACTCGTTGGCACCGCCTTCGATCTATCTAAACCACTCGACACCTGGACTTCCCTACTCTTCTAATCTGGACACCTCTGGCCACGGATCATCTCAATGCGGCGAGATCACCTGCCCTACATACTCCTCCCTGGACCATTCTTGGACTGGCGTTTATTGACAACTGGACTTTGCACAATGCTGATTCTCAGCCTGTGTACTCATTTTTGCTCAAGAATGCTCAATCTTACACGATTGAAGACAAGATCAAATTTCTCAGCTTTCACCCGAAGGCAGTGGTTGTAAGGGTATCGTCTTATCGTCTTTTCATGTCTCGTCTTTCCTCTACAGTCTTTGGTCTCGTTGTCTCTCCTTGGCCCGGCTTCAGCCCTTTCTGGGCCATTGCCATGCTGGCTCAAGTACCAATCGACTTTAACGGACTTGTGCTTGACATCACCATTTGTGGTCAAACATCTTCAAATGGAAGGCCCTCTTCCCATTCCAGCTCCTGTCTCAGCAAACAACCTGGACTTTGTAACATCTCGAAACCATATTCTTGAGGACATCAAGAAATGACCACTCGGGGACGCGTGAATCTGATGATATCTATTTCCACTGGATCCTGGATCAACAAGCAACATACAATTTTCATTTTCCCTTTTTGGATCTATGGACTGGGCTTTTATCTGTACAGCGTGTTCCCTTTTTGAAACGGACGACTGAATCAAACACTGGGCTGTGAATGATGTTCTTACACACCGCAGATTATTGCGTTCGTGTCAAGCCGTGCACAGCAAGATGGCCATTTTCTTTCTGGACGCGCGGCAATTGAGAAACAGATCGAACGATTTCAAAGGTGCTTGAATGGACCGACGAATGGGACAAAGTGGACAAACCCGTCCGGGATGGCCTAGGACCTGACTGTGTCGAACTTTTTCGATCCCGGCCTACTTATCATTTGTTTGACGGCTTTTCAACTGTGTGGCAGTCACAACTGTTTACTGTGGGGAAGACCAGGCGTCTTTGGACCCTTTCTCAAAAAAACTTATTTAATGTCGGCACATACCTCCTGTCCATTCTTTTCACGGTTGTTTATTTTTGGTCAACATGTTAGGGTCTCGGTGGCAGTCGTTACTCTCTTCATCATGTCAAATGGTATGATTCGATAGCATGGCACCCTTCCCAGCTGCTTGCATCCCTTGTCTTTATGCTGACATATTTCTCCGACAGAGCTGTACTTCTGTCTGAATCCATTCAATGCACATGTGCTCCCATTGTCTTGTTGCGCGTCATACGTCGTTTGCTCCAGGGACTGCCATACGGACTAGTCTGCTAAGCTTGCTTCCCGCACTGTTAACGTTATGCATGATCTCGGGTTCAGCCCGACAAAACTCTGCGCAATTCGAACCCAAGGAGCAGCCACCCTTTTGTTTTGGAATTGGATACGATACGACTGGTCGCACTCGATGCGTGCCTGCCCTACGCAACATGGTCCCTTGTTTGATTTGATTTCGAATGCGAAGCGACCAAAAAAAAAAAGAAACCTATTTTTGGACTGGAGTGGGCAACATTTCTGCATCGTGCTTTATTGGTTTGCAGCTGATACCCCGTGACGTGGCCTTCTGCCTCTTATCTTCCTTGCCTCTGCTTGGCGCGTCCTGGTTCCGCACTTCAATGGTCATTTCTTGTATTCTGGTATGTTGTTTTGCAGGTTTCTTTAACTGCGTTTCTGTGATGGGGATATTTTTTTCTGCCGGATATCTATCCTAGGATTGCAAGGCGAGGCATGCGACTACAACTGCCTCCGACTGTGTTTTATTTTCGCCGCCACGGAACAGCAGTTAAAAGTCGTACACCGTCTTCGCTCAGACTACTAACACCGCGTGTTTAGAGCATCCCACATCCAACTCACACGTTTGGCCTATGCCAGCCGTTCTGTGTACCCGCCGCAAGGACTGACGGGCAGGCGAATTCCAGGTAGTGCTTGACTTTCCTGATGCACTTTATGGCTTGCCCTTGACTTGCTTCATTTAGTCATTTGCTCTCGACCCCAAACGGACAAGTCGCAATCAATGCAAAAGCCAATGGCAGTGGAGGGAGATGGCGCATAAGTACAAAACGACGACATATATGTCTTTCGTTTGGCATTTTGATTTTCTGTTTATGCTTTTGTATTGTTGTGCTGGAGTTTTGGAGGCTTTGTTGTATCTTTTCTTCACTGGCATCGTGTTATAAGGAGCGGTCCACTGCTGTCTCTGTTAATGATCTTTCACGCCTGGACATGTGTTGTTTTGTCTTTGCATGTCTTGGACATGTCGTTGGTCATTTGGCCAGTGTCCACGGCTCGTTTCTGGGTTATTGTCTCTTTTATACTGCATAGTATCGTACAAAACAGGGCAAATAACCGAATTCCTTTTATCTTCTACCCAAGGCCCCAGCACCACTTTTCGTGCCATGATGTGCCCATCCATTCAGCTGTACTTCTTGTAGTTCAAGCCATGTATCAATCGGTCCCATATGCAACTGTGAAGCCAGCACAGCCCTGAAGATGCTCCAACCAGCTCGCACTGGCTCTCCTCGGCGACGATACGATGAGATGAGTATGTCCATGGAGTCACCAAGTGCATTTTTGAAGAATATGAAAGGGACGCGGACGCTGTTAATCCTTTCTTCCAACCGTATAGAAGGAGCTAGCGTCGTGGATGCATGAGGACGGCCTGCCATACTATGGCTGCGGTGAACATGATCTCAGGATAGAGCATTACACTGATTTGGTGGCAACACTCGTGCGGGAGGGGGCGTGTCGTCTGCCAATTTTCTTTTTCTTCCATGGAACAGGAGACTCAAGACATCCATGCTGTGACTTGGTGCATGTGCTGCTTGCGCATTATTTTGCCTGGGGACACATGGTGGTGCTGTGCTTGTATGGTCACAGCCCAGGCGAGATCGGTCGCGTGGCCGTACCTTCCGTCAAGAGATACATATGGGGTCGTATGGTCCTCTTCGAGTTACGGACATGCTTGCTCTTTCCCGAGTTGTTGTGGCCCTCGAACGCGCCTTCCTAGTCCGTGTCTGCGTTACCGGCTGTCCCACAGAACCACCACCAACAGCCAGCGATGTAAGGACGCCACAGGGTGCCAGCCCTCAATACATACCCGATAGACCAAATTGCGGCACAACTGTTCATCCTGACTGCAAGATACATCTTCACAAGATGTACAAATACCGTCTACTTTAGAGGAAGTTCTACGCATTGACGGTTTCCCCAAGTCGATTTGTGGCGTACGCCGACCAGCAAAAAGAGGGCAGAAGATCCAAAAGGTGACACGAGCAGGCGGCTCCAGCATCGTGATTGACCACTTGGGATTTCCGTGTCCATAGACTGCCCGACGCGCTTCAGTAACATTGGAATCAATGTTGATCGTCTCATACCCCACTACTCCTTATTGCGGCAAAATGTTTGTGTTGATGTCTACGATATGCTTACGTTGTGTTGATATGCTTACTTTGTGTTTTACGGCAGATTCTCTCCCACTGCCCGAGATCAATTTACCGTGGTCTACTTGGCTTGTTCACGTTGTTTTTAAATTGATATCGGTCCCTTGGCCAGCCACAACCAGACATGGTAGGCACAGCTTTACCACTACTAACTCGCTGGACTAGTAGTGTGTTAACAACAGTGCTGGTATACCCCGGGAAACTGTTGCCATGATACGTGTGGCATCGAGCCTGTCGACGCGTTTAAGCTCTAGGAGGTCAGTTTCATTTAGTATCCCCTGGCCACTAACAAGAAGGGCCGAGCCTCTTCTAACGGCGACTTTGTCCACAGGCTTGGCAAGCTATATTAGGTCTGCCGGGCGGGATTGAAAGCATGAAGCACCGGACTGCAGAGCTTAATCGGGGCTTTCGGCTCTAAACTGGTGACTGGCAGGTGGCAATCAACAAACAGTGTTGTCGATCCGATCAACTGAAGCTGACGGTGAATACCCGGCCATCATATAATCAAAGAATGCCTGAATCATTCACAGTCAAGTTAAGACAACGAACTGGGTACACTACAACATGACTATTTCAAGGTCACCAGGCGGTCTCGACACCTGGCTAGGAAAGGAGACTCAGCATGGTGTCTGGTGATGTCGTATTCGCCTGGTGGGTTGGAGAAGGTGTGAGAGGGTGCTGGTGTGAGAAACCGGGGCAGTTTGTACAGTAAGTTCACCAAACCAGCACCAATGGCATCCAGTCTGGCGCTGCTGGCTGCACTTGATATGCATGATGATGCGAAGAAGTAGTGGCCTGCTTGAGAACCGGTGACCTGCACACTCTGAGCGGAAGTGAGCGGAAAGCTAGCATGAGCCCAGTCGTTGACCACTGACACATCGACAGGTGTTCTTGCAGCGACCAAGAGCCTGCCACATCCAATGCTCAGGCCTCGCTTAAGGCTCCATCCCATCACAGACAGCGGTTCTCGGTGGAATTTGCGATGGGGTAGACAAGGCCCCATGTCTACCTCGTCATTGATGGTTTGGGCAGCTTTCGTTTCTATGGTACGCATCGAATACGAATTGGGATATCTATTCGCGCCATCGAAATTTGATTATTTTACACGCCCCTGCCCATCACACAATGGAGGCTTGGACTCGTATCTTTCCGGCAAAAGAAAAGATCCCTTGGACCACCTGAAAACCAAGTGGAGAGACGGTTCAGGGATGGCAGAGTTGCCCACGGCGGACGGTCCCCTTCCCGTCGCACAGACACTAGGGCTGTTGGTCTTACTCGCATGAGTTTTCGAACATGTGACCTGGACGGTGCCGCTTCTGAGAGGAAGATGCAGGATCGCGAGGCAAGGGACGGTGAGCCAAATTACGACGGTGAGCCAAATTACAGACGGTTGGATCAAAATGAGCGGTGACAGGGAACAGGGTACGAGACACGAAAAGCGGCGTCCTTGGAAACCAGAAGGAAAAACAAACCCCGAAAACGACGAGTTACTTTTACAGACAGCAGTGAGGGCTTGACCCGGTGGCCAATATGTGCCAAAAGTGGACGAATGCAGGACAGCGGCCGTCTGGCCGACTACATTGCAGACAAAGTCCAAAGCAGACAAGTCCGGTCTGGCCAAGCAACGGCGTGTAAGTGACGAGGCAAGCACGCTCACATTGCACTGGCAGGAGGCAATGAATTTGGTTTAGGTGGGATTCGATGCAGAGGGCAAGAAAGGACACGCAGAGCATGCAAGTCGCCCGTTTCATACCCAATCCGAACGTGCAGGTTTCCTGCAATGCAGCACTGCCATCTTCCCTGCACTGCAACATGGACAGTTTACTCTGCAGCCACCAATGCACAGAGAGAGGAAGTTGCACCGGCGTCTCGCCTGCTGGCAGAGGGGGGAGGAGAAGCGAAACTGATAGGCTTGGCCGGTTTGTCTGTTGGTTCTTGTGCGCGACAAGCGAGGAGACTATCGACAAGCGAGGTGACTATCGACAAATAAAATGTGTCATGATGGGGGGAGGGTGTGGGAATCACAGCAGAAGGGCCTCGACAGATCAAGTCGACGCCGCCGTTGACCGTTGACCATGGTGCCCGTAGAGTGGCTTGACGAGGTCTCGTCAAACGGTCACTCATCCTGTGATGTGACAAGCAAAGGGCGTTTATCTTCTTGTCGTGAGCAGCAGGGTATCGAAGGTGCCTTCGTCAGCTGAAGCCTTGCCGTGCAGGGCGGGCGATGATCAAATATTGGCGGTCACTGTCACCTCCAGTGACTTGCCTTGGCCGCGTGATTATCGCCCACCGCATTATGCAGCTGGTAATTTACAGGCTGTCGAGTCGATGCAACTATAGCAGGCTTTTGACACGGCAGCAACCCAATTCAGCATGAAAGCCAGACACGGGGAGCACCCTACCTCAAGACACAGTAGCAGTGGAGGCTACAACATGGGTAACTGGCAAAATTATGTGCTGGCAGAGAGATGTGAGTACTACAAGAGGACGAATGACGGGAGCATCGGGACGTCTTGTGCGTGGAAATCACCCTTGGGCAGCCGCCGAGATGCACAGTGCTGGATCCGGAGCAGAGGAACTCGATTTCCACTGCCTCATCTCACTGGAAGACGCCCCTATTTTTGTCAAGCCCCTTAGTGAGTTTGCCCCTTTCTCCCTTATTTCCTTGTTCGCTCTCAATTTTCTAATGATTTTTTCTCTTTCCAACCCGCTACGGAGCACGGTGGAATACGGAAATATGGACAGGGAACAGGGCTCGAGAATGGTCTGCCCACAACGGAGAACTGACCAAGCACAAGCGGATCGCCGAACTGTACGCCGGTGAACTCGGCTCAGCATAGCTCCAAACGCCAGTGGCTTCCAACAGACGTCGCACAGCCTTTGGGCCCTCACTCTTCCCATATACGCTCTCGCTGATGGCGCTACGTGGTTGGCGCTGTCTCTGTGACGGTGGGAGATCTCGCTTGGAGGTACTGTTACCACTGTCCACAGCTCAGGCTCGGTTGATGGAGCACAAACGTGACTAGATCAAGCTGGCCCTTTGGACCGTTGTTCTTTTGAGATGTTTGGGTTGGCAGCCCTTATGAGAGGAACAAAATTTTGCTGGGTTTGGGTAACGTTTTCACCTTGAATGGCACCAGAGGTGAATAGGGGAAATGATCTATGCCGCGCCGCTCCGTCAATACGCCAGTGTCCCACCAAGTTCCCGTCCGGTGACACTGGTCGAGGGATGCTTCCGCTCGGCACTGCGCAGCTCCCGCCCAAGGACCGCTGCGGGTGTCCTTCCGGCGTGCGGCGAGCGGGCATGGTCAGCGGGCTAGGCGTAGGGACAGAAAGAGGGAGCGAGGGAGCGAGGGAGCGAGGGCCAACCCTTGGAATCGGGCCTTGGGTCCCTTTGGGCGGGAGCCACTTGGTGCGTTGTTTTCTCCCTCTGTCCTTTGTTTCTTTGTTTCTAGTGTCTACGGAGTCTGCTTTTTCTTGCTTCGTCCTGTCCCTGTGGTCCTTTTGCGGCTTGTTCTTGTTTTAGTGCCCTTGCGCCGTTCCCTTTTCTGCTCGGGCGCCACTGCACGGAGGACACGGAGTGACAAGCTTCGAAACTAGCACCCGCACCAGCCGCCCGAGAACAAAGAAAACCCGCGCAAGAAAGGCAGGCTATTGTCAGTAGGCTTTGTCAAAGCGGGGAGCCGACAGGGAGCCGTGAAGTTTTGGGAAACCGTGAATGACGGCCGCCAAACGACAATCGAAAGGGGGGGAGACATACTCCCTTCCGAAGAGCACTCAAGTCTCTCCGCCCTCCCCTTGTTCGGCTTCCTGCAGCAGTACCAACGTTGACAAAAGCATCTGTTTTCCGCGACGGAGTATAAATCTTGCTCATCACGCTTGGGAAAGAGGTCCCGTGGCCAGCGCCTGTTCGGGTGAAGCGTTAGCTTTCACGCAAACGCACAAACGTACGCCAGGGCGGCCGACGAACGATGAAAGTGGACAAATACGGCGTGGGCGAGGGTCTGGCCATCTAAATTCACTCGAAGAAAACGTTCCGTGCAGTGTACGGCGGGGACAAGTGAGGAGATCATGAGAGCTTGCCACGAATTCTATGCGGGCAGCTGCAAAATGGCGCATGTCCGCCGACAGTATGTCGATTGTCGACTGCAGGAATTCGTGTCTGCCTTTTACATATACGTCGTATGTACGATGCATATGTACGATGCATGCAGCCTGCGCAGCGGCGGAGTCTGACCAAGAAACGATGCTGTCCGTTCAATGTAGTCATGGTGGACGAGTACAGAGTTGCACATCAACGAAGACTCCATCCTGGCGCACCATCGAACATGCCATATCCCTGCCAGCGTCCATAGTCCAGATCCTGACCGTCTTTCTTTGTTCGAAAATTCCCTCGAAACAAGAGAACACAGGTCCAGGCAACAATGCCGACGGTATCGTCCAGTATTTCTTGAGGCAAGTCCACCAAGCGGATCCCTTTACGGCCATACAATCGAGCGTGCTGTTGGAAAGCCAGCATGGACTGACATGTTGGATATCCTTGCAAAAGACCAACACGATTCTGGCACCCACTGAGGCAGAACATTGCAAGAAGATACCTCAACGTACACGGCGATGTTGACGTTTTTGTTTGGTGCGCTGGCCTGTTCGAAAAGCCCTTTTGCCTTTATCGAACGGTCCTGTGGTCCATACTGTGGACAATTGTTCAACTGAGTACGAGTCGTCGACCACTTGGTCCGTCGTACAAGTTCCCCTTGCACACCAATCTTTGGACTGGCACTTATCCTTTTGCCCTGCTTTCTGATACATACACCCTCCTACCAATGCATGCTCGTGTTCCGTTCCTTTCCCCAAACAACGGCAGTTTTTTTACTTCTTTTTTTCCTCACGCTTGGATCTTATCCCTGTCTTCTTCGTTTAGTTTTTTTTCTTGTCCCGTTTTGCCGTCCCGAGAACAGGACCTCTTACTCCGTTCGAAGAAGACCCTGTCCCCCTTTTTTTGCTTCCTGGTTTTTATGGACCTGGGCATCTTTCTCAGGGTGGCTTTCGCTCACCTGGTTGGCCCCAAGAGGCCCCGAGGCTAGCATTCGGCGCCAATTGGTGCGGTTTGTTGGTTTCTCGTAGCCAACTTGGTGGGCAGCCAATCAGCATGTATAGCCGGCATCTCTCACCTCGAACTGCCTTTTTTGGTCCTTTGTCGTGCTTACCACGGACAGACTTGGAGAGATGTGCCCCATTCCGCGTGGACTGTAAGATTTGGGCCTTATTTGGATTCTTGCCACCGCTTCGAGCTTCATGGCGGAGCGCGGCTTGAAAAATAGCGAGCGATCTCGCATACGGGTTTCGGGCGACGGCTTTTCCAGATTTTATTGCGTGTGCGCGAGCGCGTATGTGTCACTCGCATCACAACCCTGGGGATGCGGGTGGGATGAGAAAAGGTTGTTCCACAGCTTCTGTTTGGTCAATGGGTGGGCTTCTTGTGAGGTCATCCGGGCAAAAAGTCAAACTCGTTAAAGGGTAGTTTGTGAACGGGGGGCGAATAATGGCACAAGCGGCGCCTTCGTCGGGACGGGAAGAGGGGTAGGCTGAAAGACTCATGCAGGCACAAACACAAAAAGTGGCAACGGGCGAAGGCGAACCTCGACAAAAGGACAGGATGACAAAAAATGACAATACATTGTCTCAACACAACGAGGCACGCAAGACACGCAGACACGCAGACACGCAAGAAGCGTTGTGAGCCACCCGCTCATGGCCACGAACGGGGAGGGCCACCCCAGTGGGCATGGGAGAGACAAAGACTGTCAGACAACATGCCACTTTTTCCCTTTGGAGTGTCTCACATGCGAGTTGCCCAAAACGGAATTTGCCTGGATGCTGATCCATCACTTGAAAGACGACATGTGGTGGAGGGATGGGAAGCAGAATAAAAAATCGATGGGGGACAGAAAAAACAGACAAAGAAAAATCAGATGTTTGCTGTAAACAGTCGCCCTTTAGCAGACAGGAGGCGAGCGGCACATCTCCGATTCTGCCACAGGCTAAGAGCACGCTGAAGCGGCGCGGGAATGACTTGCAGGCAGCGCTATGTCGTACATATCCCTGGCTCTCGTCCCTTTGGCTGACTGTTGCCAGATGCTAACCGGATTCACAGATATCGGGCGCCTCTTTAACAGCACTGCGTTTACTTGGCTTTCTCATATTGATTGATTGGTAGTAGGCTTTTCAAGTGTCTCTATCGTTCTTATCCTCTTGTCATGCATTTAATGCGTATGTAAACCTATCTTTTCTTATTCACCCGGTTGCCCTTTTCCCAACTGAAGTACCCTCCTACCCAGTCGTCCCAATATCGAGCCGACATATACACCATCCATCACATCGTCAATCCACCTTCATCACACGTCCGGCCTCAGCTGAGCAGCCGCTGAGCCGTCGCTGAGCGCTGAGCCGAGTTCTATCACGTATATTACCTCTCGCCATTCGGCTAGCCCAGCGCAAGGCCGGCTGACGACACCCTTCCTACTCACAACCAAAAAAGGCCTTCCAGCCCTCCCCGAGGACTGGCATTTGCCACCCGGCCAATATCACTCTCTTCTGATGTTGTGACACAGTTCTACAGCAGTACTTTTCCCGTCCTCTGTCCTGCGCCGGATCACCCCACCCAGTGGTTGTTATTGGGCTTTCCCTTTTATTTGCACCTTTTTAATGGCATGCCAACCAACGTATATGTTTGTTGTATTGCACAGTAATTATTACCTCGTTCCTCCCACCTCACGGAGCGCTCTTTCCTGGACAGTCCGCCGTGTTTCGTCAGAGACGAAACTGCACTAACCAGCCCTCTAAAACCAAACGGTGTCGTTGTATCCCCCCTCCAGCACAAAAAAAAAAAAAACGCTAGCAGTCTATTTGGCGCTTATTACCAGCGCGGTTTCTGGGCCCCTCCCTCCCTTCGTTGCCCCACAAGAAGCCTACAAGGGCAGTCCCACTTCCCTTCCGAACCCTTCCCTTTCCGTATTGCACCCCGTCTGCAGGTCGCCTCGCCCCTTGCCGCTACGAACTAGGCGCACTAAAATCCAAAAGCACGGCCCCTCTCTCTCGAAAGGAGACAAAACCGACAATCCAAATGAAGGGCAGCGAAAACCCAAAGAAACCTTGATCCCATTCGCCCCCCCCTTCTTTCTCTCCATGAACAAAGTGCAAACGACAAAAGAAGTGGACCAACGCGACCAGGGCGGGCAGAACTGTGCTGGCGTGCCTTGAAAAAAAAAAGGAAATTCGACTCGATTCTACTGCGGCATCTGACGAGAGCCTCACATTTTTCGTACCCTGCCACGCAAGTAGTACAAACTTCACCTAGATTGAGGGAGAGAGACCAGACAAAGAATGGCCTGTGAACGAAAATGGTTGGCTGCCGGTGACCATGCGTCTGGCCATTGATTTTGGCTGTTTGGTGCCTGAAAAATACAGAACACCACAATGCGAGAACCAAAATGAGGCACCGAGGTCGGAACATGGTAAATTCAGATACTAAATAGAGGACACGGTCGTAACTGTTCGCTCGCGCGACTGTCGGGGTGTCCCTATGTAAACCCGTTTTTAATTTTTGTATTTTGCCCTTTCTTGACCACTATCCCATAGTGGCCAGTAGCAGTACCACCCAAGTTCTTTCCTTCGAGAGCCCTTCCAGCCAACGCACCCAGGTAGAATAAATAACGAGACCAAACGAAATAAAAGTAAAATAAAATTGGAATGAAAAGCAGATTAAATATCGAATATGAAATAGTTGAAATGGATGATGAGGCGACATGAAGGGTAAACAATACATGATAAGTTTGCGGGGGATGCGTGCGTAGAAACAAGGCGAGCAAAAAATGTGACAGGGCATGTTTGTGGGGGTAGCTTTGATGCTATAATAGTTAGAGAGAAAAGAGACAAAGAGACAATTGCAGTCATTTCGTATGCCGTGAGGCTAGACTTCTTATTTTTTCCAGGGTTATCGAACCCGAACCGACAAAGGAAAAGAGACGAAAAAGAAACTTGAGAAACAAACGCGTGGCAGGACCGAGCATCGCTGCAAGCCATCTAGAAGAGTTGAAAAGGGGAGAAAGGAAAAAGGGTGGGGCAAAAGGTGTGACGGCCAATAAAAAGGTTGACTACTTGTCGAAATGCCGGCTGCACAACCCGGAGCCAGTCTGGGAGAGAATCCGGCCACTAAAGTAGCCCAACCTTCCCTGGACGCTGTCGCACACCAAGAAAAACCTCTTGGGTGAAGTAGGAAAAAAAAATAGAAGAGAAAGTTTCGAAAAGAAACAAAGTAGAAGTGAAAATAGGCGAGTCGTGATTCAGCAAGCGAATTAGACCGGCTGCAGTCGCTTCAAAATCGCCTTAGCATGGAGTTGTCAATGTCCCCGCCAGCCTTTGGCTCGCGCACGTTGTTGGCTTGAAAAGTGAACGCGTAGTAGCCAGACGCCGAAAGCTTAGACTTGTCATCCGCTTCACCACTTGGGGATCTGGAACCACGGTGTTCCGTGGGCGGTGTGGCGGTGGTACCCGAAACACTACCGTTGCTACGGGCGCTGGTACTGCTGCCAAGTGAAGAAAAATGTTAGCAAATCAGGTCCTCAAATGCGCTGCTTGTCTATACCGTAAATGCGGTAGGAATTGCAGGTATCGCGTACTCGGTACCCACAGAGGACATAGGGGGTGGCGGAAGTACCGGAGGTGCAGGCGTCCCGTAGCCACGGGGGGCACTAGTCGAGGGGGAAACAGCGGAGCCGGGTCCAGAGGTAGAACCATTCATCGAGGGCGGGGAACGACGGGCGTCCTCTGGTCCGCGATAGTAGCCCATTTCGTGACTGGCGGGCGGGTAGTTGCCGTAGGGAGGCGGTGGCGGCAAACGGTTCGGGAATTCGGCTTCCTCTTCTTCGCGGGTCCGCTTGCGAGCGCGCTGCGGGTCTTCACCGGGGTAGCCGGCAGGCTGTTGGTGCTGAGGGTACGGAAGCGGCAACTGGCGACCGGGCGGAGGAGGAGCTTGAGACGATGGATGCGGAGGTCCATACGGGGGTCCACGATCCATGTGCGGGGGGCCATGAGGCTGCTGCTGGTAGAAACCACCAGCGCCGGGAGAAGTCGGGCCGTAGCCAGGGTGGCCTCCGGGACCATTCATCGGGCCAGCACTGGGAGGAGGGCCGCCGCCGGGAGGACCGTTGGGGCCACGTCCCCCATTGGGACCAAGTGGCTGGCCAAAAGCGCCGTACAGCGGGGTGCCAGGAGGCACGCCACCCTGGATGGCAGACACTGGTACAAAGGCCGTAGAGGTTGTCGAGGAGACAGGCTGAAACACACAGTCGTTGCCCGTCTTCTTGCAGTTCGTGCATTTGCCATCAGGGGTATTCTGATAGCCGCTGCAGCGAATCTGATTTCGTAGTGTTAGTAGAGAAATCATGCGAAACAGGTGCCACACAAAGTAGAAAAGACGCAAAACACGAACCTTGCGTTTACGGCAATACTTGCACGCAATAGAAGTGCGCTGGCGTGGTGCGGTCTCGGGCGGACCATTCTGGTACTGCGGCATTTGCTGCTGAGGCCAGTACTGGCCATGCGGAGGGGGAGGATGGTCTTGGTACGGGTGATACGGGGCGCCGTAGGGATAGCTGTCGCGGTATCCCTGCTCGGGGTGCGGGTGCATGCGAGAAGCGTAAGGATCCGGGGGGCCACCATGCTGACTGGGATGGCCGGGAGGGCCGGGAGGGCCGGGCGGGCCATGCGGACCCGGGAGGCCAGGGGGTCCAGGGGGACCAGGAAGGCGATGCTGGTTCGGGTCCTCGCCGTACGGCCGGGGCGGGCCTGGCATGGGACGGCCGGCTGGGTCATGGTGCGGCGGGCGCGGAGGTTCGTAACGGGCATAGGTGCCATAAGCTTCCCTAAACGATGGCAGAGTTACCGCGCTACCACTACCACCGCCGCCGCCGCCTCTGTTGTCATTTTGGCTCCCGTTGTTGGTGCCATTGTTGCTGTTGCTGTTGCCGGTATTACTGTCGCCGCCGAGCTGGAGCGGCTGTGGGCGGTGGTGACGATCGTCCTCCTCCTCCTCGGACTTGATGATGCCGACCTCGCGACCTGCGGGATTCTGGGCCAGCTTGGGCCGCCCCTCGTCCGCCATATTGGGAGGATAGGGTTGGTGTGACCGGAACTCTGTGATGGGCGCCAGTTTGGCAAACCAAGCCGTGGAGCACAAAGGGGCGAGATGTAGGTGAAAGGGAGAGGACTTATGAGAACGACTGAAGAGGAAGGTGGTGATGTACTTTGTAAATAGGCGGCCGATACCCAACGTCCAACAGGTGAAGTCCCGGCAAGGGTAAAGACGTTGGCGGAATTGAAAATAAAAAGGTGATGACAAGGTCAAGGGGAGAGAGAGCAAAACAAACGGTCAAAAGTGAAAGGAGGGTGGCAACAAAACTGTTCCTCGTTCGAAGCTGACTCGGTTGGGTCGAATGTTAGTAACGATAGGCCAGGACAAAGCACACTCGCAGAGGACCGTCGAAAAAAAAAAAGAAGACTTGTACAAAGACGAAGAAGCCAAACGGTAGATATGGGGAGGCGGGTAGATGCTCTTGGGTGGATGGTAGGGAAGAAGGGAAGATTGCAAAATAATGGGAGATGAGAAAAAAAAAGGCTCCTTGTTTTGAAGAGACGCGAAGAAATAGTCCAGCTCAAAGCAAAAGAAAAAAAAAAAGAGAAATAGGAAGGCACGATGGAAAATCTGAGGCAGGAGCGAAGGGTGAAAAGGGTAAAAAAGAGGAGTGAGAGGAGAGTCAGGGCCACAAGAGAGAGTTCGGAGAGGGAAGGAGAGAAGGAGCGAAGGAGAGCAAAGGGTGGTTCCAGGAAAGAGGACGGGGGGCGGTCTGCTGTATTATAATGCGGCTCGTTCTAGAGAGGACTCGTTTACCGCCTGTATGCGCTACGCCAGCATGCTAGTGAGCGAGGGGGAGGGGCGGTTTAGTGGGCTACCCATATGATGTGTGATGGGTGGTAAGGTGTGGTGTGGTAGTGTTGGCAGGAGCGATGGGAGGGGGGTCGGCGGGCACTGCCTATGTTGCGCTGGGCTGGGCGCGAACAGGGGGGAATGTACATGGAGGAAGGAGCGCGCGACCAAATGACAGGGCAGGCCCGGCTTGGCTGCACTGGGGGAATTTGCTGGCTTGCTGGCTTGCTGGATAGAGGGTAATGGTGTGGTAACAAAGTATACGGTACGGGCCCATGCACACTCAGGGTCAGCGAACTAGGTGCGGCCCCAGGTACATGGACCGCTCCGCGTCCACACGCGCCTTTCCTTTTCACTATTCTGCGCATCGCCTCTCAAGCCAACGCAGGTTCGCCGCCGCTACTGGGCAAAGTACCTTGCGGTGCATGATGTGCAGCGGACGCCAGCGCAGGGCCAATGCCAGTAGCGCCTTCCGCAGGCGAGGTGTAGTGGTGAAGGACACTGCTAAAAAAACGGCGTGTGTGCCTAGTCGAGGACGGACGGAACTCATGACAGGGCGGGCGGGTAAGGATGGGCTGCAACAGGGCCTACTGTCTGCTGCCGCACGCCGCAGCCCGCCTGCCCGCCAGCCCGCCAGCCGTTGCCCGCAAGCCGCAGTCCACAGTGAAACGAAGCCAGAAGCCGCAGACGGTGGCACTTGGCCCTTCTTGTTCTTTGTTCTGCCCCCCCACTTGGTTGCTGACTATTTTTTGGGACTGGGATGTCGTCCGTCTTTGTTCTCCCTTTTCACGCGGCCTAATCGCCCGGAATGCCCAGGCTCCATGGCCACAAAATAAGGCCGGCGACGAGCTTTGGCTTGTAGGGCCGTGGTCCTTTCGCAGCGGCACTGGTCGCCTTTTGTGTCTGCTGTGTCTGTCGTGTTGTGTCATGTGGTGTAGTCTCGTCCCTGTCCCTTTGTGTCCCCAGCGGCACTTGCCCTGAACCTTGCAACAGCCATGTCATGGTGAGACAACAGCTGCCAGACCAGCAGGTGTCAGGCGGGTGTGCAACTGCGCCTTTGTGCAATGGTCCGTTCATGTCTCGTACCGTACGATGGGAAGCAAGGCGAAATTCAGTCGAAAAGACAAAGCTCGGAGAGGTTGCGTTCGACTGTCTTCGCAGGGGCGTCGACGATAACAGTACACCTCCGCCGCTTTCGATTCCCCCCTCTTTCCATCACATTCTCCCCTCACCGAAAGTACACGAGCGGTTGACAAGGCCAGTGGCAACAGCAGACCGGCGACGGCGGCAGAATCCGTCGAGAAGCACTTGGGGCAAAAGCAAAATAGTTCATGGCCGTGGCGAAAGGCGATGGCGTGCGAGCATGTTGGTGGGATAGGCCATTTGTTCATACAATGTATTTTGCCATGCCTTGTTTCAAGCGAGATATGTATGCTGAGCTGCCTCGCCGTAGGATAAGCGAGAATAGTGGTAATTGCAAATTCCACAGCAAACTCGCCGCCTCACTATGTCGTTGGGGCCACATGAACTGGACTGTGCCGTGCGCTGCTGTCCACGATGGATTGCTGCTGCCGCTGCTTCAGTTGCTACCGTTTTGACCGTATGGCTCACCTCGACTGTCCAAGCTCCCCAAATCTGGGGCACCACCGCCTCTTGCTACCCTTATCAAAGCCACATCGTCCGAGGTTACCGCTACTTTCACCTCCCACTAACTTTAGTGCTCAATCCGAACCCATCCGTTCCCAGTACTTAGCCTGCAAGCCGAGAAATAGTAATAAAAAAGAGACGTTCGCCGCTGCTGCCCGCCACTCCCGTGCAAGCCGGTGGGTAGGTCTCGGCTAGTTCTAGCCTGGCGCTTTCCCTTGGTCGTCCGTTCTGGCGCTGGGCCTGGAGGTCTCGTGGACTGATCTGGAGGTGGCTTTCTTGGTGGTAACGGGTCTCGCAGTGACGATAAGTGGGGTTCAAGAGAGAACAAAGAAAACCGAGTGTTGTGAAAGAACTCGGAATAGGACGGGGGGAGAAACAGATGCAGTGAATGTGACTAGATGGGCAGATGGGGCAAACAATGAATGAAAGAGGCCGTGAACCTTTGTGCACTATCAAGATCATGACTGTGTTTTGCGTGTCGATGAATGTAGGCCAGAAATGGGATGAGATAAGAGCGAATGACAGACAGGAAAGCGAAACACGGAAGAAACCGAAAACATCATAAAGGACAAAAACAAAAGCACAACAGCTCACATGGCGGGAAACGCACCTTTGTTGCCTTCGTCGTCGTCTGACCTCGTTCTTTCGTCGCAGCGGCGTCGTCGAGCCAAAAAAAAAAAAAAGTAGATGTGCGTTGTCAGCGAACCGAACGGCAAAACAGACCAAGAGGTTGAAAGAAGTGGAATTGATCGATGAGAGGTGGGATCCGGGGCTTCTTATTAGGATTTTTTTTACCTGTCACCCTCCCCCCCATGTCTTTCGTTTTGTTTTCTCCCAAAGACGGCATGGTTGTGGGTGTCTTGCTGTTTTCTTTTCTTTTTCTGCACCTCTGCACCCACTGGCGACCGCCAAGGATTCCGCTGGCACAAACGGGTCGCTACGGCGCGCTTTTGCTGGGCCCTGGATCATTGACGAGCACAAGACTGGGAACGGCAGCGAGGGAGAGTCGGGGATGACAGGGGGCATGGGGTGGGGTGTCTGTGGGCATGGACCGAAGGTAGAGTGTGTAAAAGCCTGAATATGGCTAGAGAAAGAATTGGACAAGTCGTGAGCAATCCTCGGGTAAGGCAAGGGAGCGCTCGAAAAGGCAAACAGAAAAGGCCAATTTGTGAATTGGAAAGCTTTCAAAACACCAAAGGCCACGACGTGTACAAACGGAGATCCCTCCATGTCCAATTTTTTTGCTCGTGTTTCTGCTTGATAGCATCATGGAAATCAAGAAACAAAATAGAAAACATATACTTCGCCAGTATATTCCAGAACCGAGCAGAAACGGATGCGCGAGAGCAAACCAGAAACGAATGAAGAGGGAAACAGAGGCTTGCCTGACGCAGGCGACAACCGGCCAGAGAAGGGGATAAGTGACACAGGGGTGCGATCTGGTAGGGGGCGTGGGACAAAGGAACGGCACGCCCCCTGGGGTAAACCTAACTGCCAGATGGGGCCTGGCCCAGCCAAACTCGCTCCATTTCCCTGAAAAGTAAGGAAACAGCAGGTCAGCACCCAGGAACTCTGACTTTCTGGCAAACTCTTCTCAAAGGGGAAAAGGGAAGAGGATAGGCCCGCTGCGCAGAACGGCAACGAGAAATGCAAAGGGATGTTTGGTTGTGCATCAGTGCACGGCAGATGATTAGCCAACGGCACCATATGTTGTGGGTTATTGGCTTTTGATCTGTTGATTTCTATTTTTTTTTATTCTTTCTCCCCCCATTCTGGTGACGCCGTGCAGGGCCACAGAGATTTGCTACTAAGAGGCATCGTATCTTACATTTTGCGTCAGCGTGCTTGCACAGGACACAAGGCCTCAGAGTACTGAAGGGCTGGATGGGAAGGACCAGGGGGAAGAATACATCTGCTCGTGGATGGAAAGAGACGGGAGTGCCCAGGGCTTATCCGCGTTGCTGCTTTGTACGAATAGGAAGGAGCCCCGTAATGTAGAAACAGCCAACGAGAACGGGGAGGTTTGCCTGTATTGGTGCCCAGTCTGGACCGTGGTCTCTCGCAGTTCTATGAGACGTCCTTGTTGTATTTCTAAGGAACCCCCGCCCTATGACAGCCCACAGAGACGGCATTGTGAGATATTTTTGCCAAATTAGGGCCTAATATGTGTGCATCTTGCCAGCGACTCTGCTCAGACTGTCGACTGGTGCTGATGATTGCTGTGTTTGCAGTTTTGTACCACTGTCTCAGCCCGGCATGTGTGGGTGCGCTGCACAGAGCCGGGCAGGAAAAGACATATGCCTGCCCCCCTCTGTCGTCCTTCTCTGTCCTGGGGTTGCCGTTTGCATCTTTTGTCTGCAGGAAGCCGTTTGTGCTGCATAACGCCGTAATTGCTGCTCGGACACGAAGGGCGACGGGCGATACTTCGCCTTACTTTTGTCGGCGCCCTGTCTCTACTACTTCCGTTGTCCGTCCTGAGTACTGCTGTATGTCGCCCCATGCGAGCGCAAACGTCCATCCATCCAGTCTCACGCAGCGCAACGCTCCAAAGAGTGAAAGGTCGCTGGGGATCCAGCTTTCGTAATCGCCCGTTTGTTTGCTCTAAGGGCACAACGCCGGTCGCGGAAAAAGAGTGGGCAGGCGGCGACACGCAGCATCCTGCCTGTCTACCAGTCAGAGGCCAGAGACGCCAAATGTCTCCTCTCGCTCACCCACCCAGATGTCCACACATCTGACACCCAATCCACCAATCCGCCGCCTAATCCCGCCTGATCATCGCACACAGTCTGCCGCCCGCCACGGCGGCACCCAAAAGGACGCCAGCGCACGGCATCCAGCGTGCGGCCAGGCCCCCAATTGATTTATACGGTCGCATGATGGGCCGCAGGCACTTTTGTTCGCCAAGCATTTTACTCAACTAGATCCTCACGTAATTTTAGCCTGCCCAGGAGGTCAGGTTCGATGGGCAGCATCTGTCGTTCTTGGCGGGTCAAGGAGAGTCAGAAACCGCGTAGGTACAATTGACGTTTGCTTATGTTACGCAACATACAGGATCAAAAACAGCTGACTGTCGTACCTATTGTGGTTGTGCCTCGTGCTCACAGCGGATGAATAACACCAAGCTCGGCCTCTTGTTTAAGACAAGTCAACATGCCGTCATAAATGAGACAAACGAGAGTTTGTACTTGGTCCGGTTTATGCTTGTCACCCACGCGACAAATACGGCGAGTTGTTTGTGGCCACCTGTTTCGGGTTGTCTTCGTTTTGGCGTCCACCTCTTTGTGCGCTCTTCTGTGTTGCCAATGTTTCGTGGCATGTCTCTCTTTGTTTAGTATGCTCAGATGTCTTGTGTTTCTTTGTGTCGCGACGGCTGGGACCGCGGGAACCCACCGGAAGCGGCGGGCCAATGCAGGAACGGAGTCATAGCAGTGAACAGGTGTAGCACTCTATTTATTGTATACAGCCCACCCATAATGCCTGGCGAGCTGAAATAGAGACCCAGAAGTTCCATACGTGAAGACGACAAGGTACAAACCTTGATCGGTGCGTGGATGCGAAGCGACAATGACAGGACGAAAGAAGGGGAGAATGACAACAGCAACAGAGCGAACGGGACAAGGCTCACAACTTGATCCAAGCCGACAACATTGGGGCCAGTGGCCATCAAAACGCCTTGCTTGCAGACGTGGAGCGGTTTGCGACGGCCGAGTGGCAGTGGGAGCATATACGTTAGAATGCGAGGTTGCGCGCCCAAAGGACGGGATATCTGCCGGGACCGAGCGGTCGGTCTCAATCGGGAACGCTGGGCACGATGGCAGGACCACACGATCCAGGTGGAAGGCGAAGCATGCGAGGACAGTCAAGTGCCCACTGATCGAGTACCCGAGGACGAGCTCGTTCAGGCTTAGTTGCCATCGCACTTGGTTGGAACTTGGACATGGCCCTTGCCTGGCCTGTGCTGCAAGGCCTAACCTTTCCCGTCTTTGTTTTTCTGCAGGATACAAACCCGTCGTCCGTGGCTCCTGCGGCACGGGACGTCCAGTCCAGTCCATTGGCTGCCGAACAGGGTTCCTAGAGACGAAAAGAGGGACCAGCGCCGGGAGATCGGAGAGTTTATCCTCTTGTCCTTGCCTTCTGCCCAATGAGCCCATTTTCTTGACTCTTGCCTCCTCCCTGACGTCGCTTTCCTCTTGTGGCTCGGTCGCCTTGACACCGACATGCAGTAATCGGCGCGCAGACACTTTGGAAGCTTTGCAATGTTCCTGGCCATTGTCGCACGGATGTTCCTTGCTCTCTTCGACGGAGGACGCCCAAAAAGGACAGAGATTCGCGGGGTGGGTCAGCAATCTCGTGCCGTCCCTTTTTGCACCTGCGGCAGAGAATGCGGGAGCGGTGAAGAGGCGGATGGGCGCGGGCCTGTTGATTGCGGTAATCGAGTGCAGATTGCGTGGAAAGCTGTGGCGAATCCCGTTTGCCATCCTGGTTCTTGAACCGAAAGTTGGCAAACAACGCCATGTTCGCATGGGTCAAGACATACACGAACAAACAAAAAGATGGCACTCCAGCGGCTGTTTCTGCTCTATGCAAGCCGTGCAAACGTTTGCAACGGCAGCGACGCAAGGGAAGAGTTGGCCGATTGTGCGTGGAAAGCCCGAGCAGATACAGCGGCACGATATTAACAGGTATTGGCTTTCTACTGTGAATTTTGTCGTCTTCGCCCCCATTGCGGTGAAGTCACTCGCAGAAATGCACGCACAATATGCAGGCAACAAGTTGGATTGGATTTGGTTGTCGCACTTTCCTGTCCGCGCGTGCTTCTTTAGCCATTTGCAGCCTATCATTAAAAGATGCATGCGGTCCCGTGTGTGTGTGGGTGTGCGTGTTGTGTTTTGTTTCGTGCTCGCCGGTTGACGTCCCTGGCTGTTATTTGCTCGGATTTTCAGGGCGGGCTCAACGCGAAACAGCGGACGGCTCGACACGAAGGGATGGACGACGGGCCGGGCAGGTCAGGCCATTTCTTTGGGACAACGACGGGGGAGTGAGCTGGCCACGCACACGTTCCTCATTTGGCCGTAAGTGGTATTACCGTGCTGCCATTGCTTCTGTTTGAGTGACAAAAGGTGGGACATGATGACATCTGTCGCTGTCGTGTTCTTTTCGGTCCCGTGCACCTTCGTTTCATTTCTTAGGTGCTTCGTTCCGTCCACTTGGGTTGACTTTCGCCACCTGCTCCTTCTTTCTCAATGACACTGTTGGGAACACCTTCAGCGGAGGAAAGAACGACGCACGCTGTGCACTACAATTGCTACAAGAACGTATTGTCAAGTCCACATTAGATGGCAAGAGCGAAACACGTCCAAAATAAGGAAGGAATGGGAGACTCTACAGCACGGGGCAGAAACAAGTGTGTTATTTTCTGTTTACAGCGGTTCAGGGGACCTGGCAAGACGCCGAGGACAGTGGGAAACAATGCTGTAAAAGAGTGATTGACCCGCTGAAATGAGGAAGCGCGAACACAGAAGAAGCCATGGTGGAAAGGAGACCGTGAAGGACCTTGCCGAGGAAGGAACGAGGGGCGTTCCATCCGTAACTCATACGGGAAGGTATCCCGCCCAGTGTTTCCTTGAGGCCTGCTGCCGATTTCGTGTGCTGCCGTTGGTCGTGGTTTAGAAACAGCGAAGAAAAGCCCCTCTAACCCTTCCTAATTAGGTAGTGGCACAATCCTGGGCTGGAACATTCCGGACGAATATTGAGTGAAATGGAAGTCGCTGTTGGGGGCATTTGAGGAAGGAGCAGGGTGAGCGATTCCTGCTCGACTTCAAAGTTTCCAAGCCGCTCTTTCTTGTTTCGGGATAAAATTCCTTCTTGTGTTCCAAACGGGGCAATTGCGACCCTTGCCTATTACACCTTCCCAACAGCCAAGACGTTTCTTCTCCCCCTGTTTGACAAAATCCTATCATGGCATTTCCCTGTTGATTCTTCTACTTACTTTAGGCAGATTGGACATATTGGAGTGATGGCCAGCAAACTGCCAAGTTTATGGGTCAGCGAAGATTTCCTGGTCGAAATTCAACCTCCCGTGGACCCCAATGGCAAAAGGACCAGCCCGCCCGTCCCCGAAACAAACCACTCAGCAAACGAGATTGGATCGACCAGCCTGCCAGCATATTCCCTGCAAGCATTCGCAATCGACGATGAGCAATACGACGCGCCTACGCCCTGCAATATATGTTTGTTGTCAAATTCGAGGAGTCGGACAGGCGGTGCCTGCTGAACGAGAGCCAGTCATGAGAATACGCGTTCGCCATGACAGAACTTCTCTATTCCTTGTCTGGATTTGGGTGCAGAATCAGGCCGAGCTTACAGAACGAACCGATGCGCGCTCCACAACTAATGTGAACATCTTAGCGTCGACCAGACTTCACTCCCCTGGGGCAGTGGGTCTCGGGCAGCGGGCCAGGCCAGGCGTCGGCCAGGGCCGTGGGCTACTTGTGTTTTGCACAGCTTATCCGCGTCAAAAACCCAGAACCGGTTAGCGATCCTCCAGAAGGGTTTCTTCACGAAATCCCCCCTCCCTGTGCAAATGGCCCCCAAATCTCACTCGATCGTCCACAGGCGCACAAGTGCGAAATAATTACATGTCCTCTCTTTTTCGACTTCTACCAGGGCGCTCCGTAGGTCTCATTACCGAAATATGTGTTGACACGTTTTGCTGTCGGTACAGAAGAGGTCGTTCTCTCCTCCCTACAACGGCGCGACCAACAGATGCTGAGGCTGGCTACAACATTCATGGTTCTCAGAACCGTTGCCAGTTTTCCTTTCTCTTCATGAAAGGTTGCGTGGGCAATTTAGGCAAGGTCCACCCAAGTATCTGCACAGAGCCATACTAATATTTCGTATGGCTCTGCTCTTCTTTTGTCTCAACGCCACCCCAAGCTCGCAACTGACAGCTTGAGCCCAGTAAGTAGAGGCCTATAGCGTATTCCGAAGATCAAAGGCGGACTCTGGGCTACTGGTTATCAAAGATCCGTGAGCCCAACCCGGTCAGCGAGGCTCGCAATGTCCATAGTGCACCACAACAGCGTCGAACATAAGTCCTCACGTTCGACAGACACCCGTCCTTCAATGTTTCGACAAGAACGTGTCTAGCTTTCTAAGGCCGCCGTGGCGGCCACGCACTGGAAACGAAGATGCCTGCCTAACGGAACTGTGAGGTTCCACGCCATGCCGTGCCACCTGCCAACGCTTCTGACAAGGCCTCTGCAGCAACACAACAAGCATCCCCCAGAAAGCAACTGCGCAAGCAGGATACAAATTACACACCCCATTTCCCCCACACTGGCAACATTTGAACCGTGCGAAAATGTCTTTGCTCTGTCACCCTCTGGTATGGAGCAGCGGCGTATTTGCGGCCAGACTCCCGTTGCCGGTACGGCGCTACCCAGACGAGCCGATACAGAATAGCCATCCACCCATCTGTCCACCTACTTCGCAGCTCGTCACAACGACTTGAGAGATATGCCGACTAAAGATAGCGAGGTCCACAAAAGTACATATTTCTGCTCAACCATGACGGCATGCAACGTGTGTGTGGTCGCCTACTGCGTTCCCAATGAGGTTGTCTGCATATGCGGGCATCCTTCGTTTCGCAGCTATGTGTTCCATCCAAGGACGCGGTCTCCGCCGTCTATTTCTGTTTCTGCGGCCAGAAAAAAATTACCAGGGCGACAAATCAGAGGCAAAATTTGGAGCAAGAAGCGGCACGAAGGGGGCGCCCGACAACATAGACAAAGAGGACTGACGGACTACAGCAACGAAAGGAAAATGTGATACGGGATGTATCCTTGCATTATTGCACCCTTCATGTAGGCGGTCGGGCGAGAAGAATTGTCAAAGGCCTGTGGAGGATTGGCCAAGCGCGAGCCGTCGTAACTGACGCAGAAAAAGATGTGCACGCCCAGTCCAACTCGACAAGGGCATGTAGCCAACCGAAGAGAAAAACAAAAAAGAACTCGCCCATCCAGTACATATTTCTTAACACTTTCGAGGTGCATTTTGGCACAAAACAGCAAAAATTTGGTTAGGTTGGTCGTGCAGGGTAACTTTCCCGCAGTGTCGCAGTTCTGGTCACGATGCGGGCGGGTTTATGTTAGCGATGTTTGCTCGTGCCGTCATTCTTCTTTTCTATATTCAATCTCTTTCGATTTCCTTTTCGATCCTTTCCGAACCGGGCACCGAAGAGGCCCAGGGGAGTGACACCAAGAACAGAAAATAAAAAAGGAGAAAAAAGGTCCGTCCCGTCAGGGTGGGTATTTTAGGGTATCCTGCAAGCGGGGCCATTTTTGATCACATGAGTGCCCATGGCAAGCTGAAGAGCGGGCCAGAGTCAGGAGGTGAGCATGGCGAACAACAAGAGTGACCAGGGGGTTGTCCCTGAAAGGACAAGCGGGAGAAGAAACAACTGACTGTCTGCAGTGCAGTGCGGCGCCTGATCCAAAATGTGGGAGAGAAGAAGGGAAAAGAAGCAAGAGGAGCAAAAGAATCCAAGGAGACGAGAGGCTGTGAAGCGCCCAGCAGCTGCCGTCGTGCTCGTCATGATGACCGCAACGAAATCCTCGCTACCGCGCTTTATCCTTTCTTTTACGTATTTTCCATCACCGTTGGCCCAGACTCGGAGGCAAATACCAAGCAGACACAAACAGGCCAGTTTACGACGGCCCGCGACATCCCCGTCTCACATTGCCGACCCTCCTCTCGAGTGTTGGAAAGATGTGTGTGACCGCTCATCACACCGCTTGCAGCAACGGCTGGCTCTTGCAGAAACGCCAATGGCAAAACAAGGAGGCGAGAGAAAAATGCAGAAGAGAAAATCAAAAGGCGAAAGAGGGGCCACTGCAGGAAGGCGAGGTGTGCCATGGAGCCGCTCTCAAAGTGGTGGGTGTTTGAACTCTAGCGAATAAGATGGCCATGAGAGCCCTGCCAAAAAAAAATAATAATAATAAAAGGCGGGAAGTGAGAGTTTCGTCGGCGCAGGGAGGGTGGGAACGATGGATGACGGGAACGAAACCCCAAATGCGACTGGTGTGTTAGGGGGGAGAGAGAGCCACCAGGTGACTTTACTGTGCAGTGATGGACCTGACTTGGGCAAGGATGTGGCCGAAGCTGCCTGGGGGAAGAATGAGCCAGCGGATGGACGCGGCATAGGCCAAAGCGACGGAATGGGGTGTCGTTACTTTAGGTGAGATGCACCTACGACGATGACTACGACGCGCACACCCCTCCGCCCAAGGCCAACGCCCGAAAACGGCGTGGCGAAGGCAAGGGCGGGAAGGGTGTCAGAACATCAGACTGCCAGGATGGTGGAATTGAAAAACTGTGGAATTGGGCGAGTGACGAAACGAGGAAGCGAGGGCGAGGCAGTAAGATACATGTACACAGTAAGGTCCCATACCAGGAGCGGGGACAACTGGGTTTGCAT